ACCCTTTCTCAGAACTGGCCTGAGCTTTTATAGCAATTTCTGTTTGTGTTTCTGATTTACAGCATCCACAGGTCTTTTGGTTTTGATTCATTCATTCTCCAAATGTATTTTCAAAATCTAAAGTGACAGAAGTTGCGCCATATGTTGCACGTGGTTCAGATGGGGCTAATGCTGAGGACTACATTATGCTTCACCCAATCTGATGTCAGAAGTACTTGGGTGGCGCAAGGTAGAACATCTCATGATCTCCAAGAGGATAAACCTGTCCGTTGTAGGTCTCCTCATTGTCTATCATAATGTAAATTGAACCTGATTGTTATCATGCAATAGACCACATCTTGTTTAAGATGAAAGCATCTTCTCAGTAGACTGGTTAGTGGTTGTCATTTCCCACTTCAGATTATATACGTCCTATAGACGCAATCAGAAAAGGAGGATGGTAGGAGCTACCTACGCCCTTCCACATGTTGCCACTGGTTGATGTCATGTGCTCGTGCAACAGTACTGTATGTAAGGGTCTGTATTAGAAATTCACAGACCCCTAGCTTACGATGGCAACTCCAATTCTTATCAAGAGGAGTAATGAAAAATTGGAAAAATATACTTGCACTCACATCTGCCTGCTCAGCAGTGGCATTCTGCATATTGTAGTAGAGTTTTTTTTCTAGACAAAACTTCTTAAAATCTAAACGTACATTTTTACAGGATTTTGAGAGCACCTGGCAAATTGGGCAAATCGGGCAAATCATATTCCCAGTTTAGCAGTGTTTTGGACGAATCTTTCAACACCTATTCCAGCATTGTCTGTTCTGCAGGGGAGACTGCAGTTTGGAATGTTGCAAATGTAACCCTGCTGTTTAAGAAGGGGGATGGGGAGAGAGAAAACGGAACCGTGGCCTGTTAGGTTCTAGCACTAGATAACAGGCTCTTATAAATGTTATTGCTGGATAGTTGAAACTACTTTTGAATGGAGAAAGTCGTCATGAATTTATGAAGCAGGAATCATGTTTGGCAAGCCTGAGTGTTTGTTTTTTTTTGAGGATATTACTAGCAGTATCACCTAAGGGGGAACCAGTGGATGTGATATATTTGGTTTTAAAGATTAATAAAGAAAATTCAAGTGCATCAGTTTGGGGTAAGAGACTCTCGTCAACTGATGAGAATTGGTTAACAGGCAGAAAGCAGAGTAGAAATAAATGGGTCGTTCTCCAGTTAGTAGACGATGACCAGTGGGATACCAGAAGGGTCCGTGCTTGAGCCCTAGCCGTTCACAGTCTATACCAATGATTTACAAGTGAGGCCAATTGTAATAATTCAAATCTTACAGATAATGTGATGGGAATATGCATAATGAGAAGTACGTAAAGAAGCTTCAGAGACTGAATGAGTAGGTGAGAGTTTGGAATGTAATTTGGATAAGTGCGAGGCTCAGTCATTGTTAAATTCAAGACAGAAGATGGACAGCTTCCTCATTATTAATGACCTCAAGATCTAGGGATAACGTGGGACTATGATGTTGAGAGAGGTGATTAGCCGGGATCACAAATGGTGGCAGTTGCTTAAAGGGCTGAATGGCCTATTCTTGTTCCTAAGATCTATCAGCACATTTATCTAGCAAAATAGTTTTACAGTGTATTTGCATAGTCAAGAACTAATGGATTCAGGCTACAAAAATGTTTGATTTGCAGACGATATTTTGTCTGTCTTTGTTACCTTCTCAGTGAAATGTATTAAGCTAAGGGGTGGCACGGTGGCTCAATGGTTAGCACTGCTGCCTTACAGCACCAGGGACTCTGGGTTCAATTCCACCCTCGGGCCACTTTCTGTGTGGAGTTTGTGCATTCTCCCTGTATCTGCGTGGGTTTCTTCAGGTTTCCTCCCACAGTCCAAAGGTGTGCAGGTGTGAATTGGCTATGCTAAATTGCCTGTAGTGTTCAGGGATGTGTAGATTATGGGGGATGGGTCTAGGTGGGATACTGTGAGGGTCTGTGTGGACTTGTTGGGCCGAAGGGCCTGGTTCCACACTGTAGGGATTCTATTCTAATAAAAAAAATTGTCAACAGATCAAGTCTATAACATTAAATGGCAATGCTAATAAATTATCTACCAACAAAAATAAATTCAAAATGCTTCCTGGTATATTTCCATTCTTGATGCAGCTGTGAAAATGCTTTGATCGCCTGATCCAAATGATTGGCAACATAAAATGGGTATTGAAAGAATGCCTTTGAAAGACATGTTCCTAAAACGTACTTAGAGTACATTGTGTTTTCCCCACCCTCCCAAAAAAAACAGGATTCTTTTGTGGTGTTTATTTTCTCTGAATTTATGGTGCCACTGTATTGCTTTGATTGGCATTCAAAGCACACTGTCAAACAACCGAAGGCAAAGCTTATGACCTAGATTTTATAGTGAATTCTGTTGAAATAGATTGGCTTTTAGTGGTTCCTCAATGATATGTTTTTGTGCGATGCCTAAGAAATGCTGATAATCATACTAAATGTGTTACTTATCAAATGTTCTTCCTCTAGTTTGGGTTTGAAAAAGAACTTTTTGGCACGCAGTTATGCTAGTTCGAATGATGATACAAAAGCAGCTTGCTGGTAGAATGTTATTGCAATTAAGACTTGTTTGTGAATGTTGATGGTTTTGTTTGGGTGAAGTTTCAGTATCCTGTAACTGTATTCTGCTTGTACAGAACTGATAAAATGTATCCCCTTATAGATGGGGAAATAATTGACATTATAATGTGCTTTGAAAATATTTGCATCGTACTAACATAAATCACTAATTACACAACTATATTTCTGTACGATTGCTCCAAAAAGAGCGTTTTGGATGCCCTTTGAGTTTTATTCAATGGTGCTGGCATTCTAAGTGTACACATTACGGGAATGAAAACAGAAGTTGCTGGAATAGCTCAGCAGAAGGAAAAAAAGTCCGAGTTAACATTTTAGGTCCAGTGACCCGAGTTCTGAGGAAGGGTCACCAGACCTGAAAAGTTAACTCTAATTGTTCCTTCTCAGATGCTGCCAGTCCTGCTGAGCTTTTCCAGCAACTTCTGTTTTTGTTCTTGATTTACAGCATCCGCAGTTCTGTGTTTTCTTAGAGGAATGAGCCTCTTCCATGCTTATAAAAGCTGTAACAGTATATTTTGTTTAGCTGTTACCAACATGTAGAAATTTTAATGTTTTGCCGAAAAGGCAACAAGAGTCCAAATTGGCAGTTCAGCTAGAATTATGGAGAGAAACATGAAGTAATTTATCATTTGTCTGAAACTGCTCTGGTGAGGCCATTAACCTGCTTAAAATAATTGGATTAATATTTTCGTTTAAATAGTAGAGGACTAGCAGTCTTTCTTTGACATAACAATGATTTGTGACCGCAGCTATTTCATTATTGCTGGGGACAAAAAAAGCTGTCAAAGCTTTTTGCCTTGGATTCATCAGGATGGAAGAATACAAGCTTTCAAAGGGAGCAACAATTTATACAGGATGAAAAATGAGGTGCCAATTGGCTGCAGTGTGGACTGGTCAAGCAGATGCCATGGAAATGCACCAGAAAACAGTTACCCAGAACTTTTAGTCAATTTTTGAAAAGGTAAAGCAGCTTTGGAAGAGAAATGAGACATGAGGATTGCACTAGAAATAACCCATATGCAACACACGCACTCTCTATTGCTATCGCTATCTAACAAACACAGCCTATGGTTAATTGAAAAGGTGCAGTGCCTGGATATTCCATTTGCCTGCGGAGGGCATATTCCTGCATAGGAATGCATAAAGCTTTTGTCAAATAAGCCATATTGCAAGTCTGACTGATTATCTTAAATTGCTTGTCAGTGTAATTCTTGGCAAACATGGAATTGTTCAGTTAGTGCTGCCCAATCTCTGTCTCTCATCTAATGTTGGACACCACCCTCTGAGTTTTGCATGCGCAGGATGGCTGAGTATGGTCAGTCCTCTGCCTGTTGCAAACAAATGGAGAGATGTGCTGTTTAATATGATCTGCCAGCCATTGGAATATATGGCCTACATATCTGGCATCACACAGGCATTGACATTTATATACAATGTTACCCAATTGTGTACTATGTTAAACATCTTTTTGGCCAGATGGTAGCATTGTGTTAGTGCTAAATACTGCTTTAGTTGCTACTGCACAGCAGCAGTGTGATCGCTCTTTTTTTTGGCCACCTTTATTCTTCCAGGACAACTGAGGTATGTATTCTTCTCACAACCGAAAGTTGCAATCTTGTGCCCATTCAAGATTTTGCATGATATACTGTCAGCAATGTTCAGATCAAGTTAGTCATTGTCAATTCCTAGATCTAGTTAAATAAATCCAAGTGAAAGGTCAGGATGTTTTCATGTGTGCCGTGTAATTGTCAAATCAGCAAACCTAGCATCTAACTCTTTCAATTCTTACTGGTGTCATTAACACTTTACAAAACTGCTATTTGTTTCAAACATTTCGCACCTTTTTTTGAGTAAGCATTTTTCTAAATTTTTCTTCTTTTTGAATAAGTGTATGCCATCTTGTCCTAATTGTTTAATAACAATAGTTTGGCTCCACACAATTTTCATATCTTAATTTGTGCCTGTATGGCAAATTTAAGGCCATCCTTTTATGACACATGAGCTTGAATCTTTCTCAGAATCTCATACATACTGTTTTGAAAAATCATATTTGGGCTGGAAGCTTTGAACCAGATGTATAGGATAACTGTTCTAAGTAATATCGACTTTCGAGAAAAATAATCTGACCCAGGGATGTGTGATAATGTATTTGTAGGTAATTCTTTCAGACTCCATTCCAGTGTTTGCTCTATCAATGCCTGTGTGAAGCAAGCTCAGGAGAAAGAAAGAAATTGGCTTCAGCAATTGTACAACATTTTATAATGCCTCAGGTTGAAAATCTATTCACAGAAAATATGTCTTGAATTATGTTTTGTTTTTCTGTCTAACGTGGCTTCAAAGAAAATTTTGTGGTTTTTGCAGGAATGCTGCAGAATGGCAAGAAGTTTGATTCTTCCAGAGACAGAAACAAGCCTTTCAAGTTCAAGTTTGGCAAACAGGAAGTAATTAAAGGTTGGGAAGAAGGTGTAGCACAGGTATTTATTGTGTGATTATCCGGTGAGTTTTCTTTAAACAAAAAACATACATTTTAAAAAGATGCTGGTAGCTGCAGCTGGTAACTTTTAATATACCTCTGTACAATACAATAATTTCAATAAAAAGAAACTAATGAAAAAAATCAATTATGGAGCTTGTTTATAACAGTCGAAGTTTACATAGCATCAATGATGCCAGCACATTACAAAAAAATCTTTAAATGTAAACATCAAATTTAAAAGAACCATAGAATCACATAATCCCTACAGTGCAGGTAGAGACCATTCAGCCCATTTTGAATCTGCACCATTCAAAGAGCATCCAACCCAGACTCCCCCTGTACTTCCCACAGCTAACCCACCTAGCCTGCACATTCCCTGGACACTATGGGGAAATTCAGCACAGCCGATCCACCGATGGGCTGAATAGCCTATTTCCGCACTGTAGGGATTTTATGAACTGAATAATTAAATGTCAGTTGTACCTATTTCTTCATAAGGTGTACAATGAAATCAATTTTTGCTATTTTTTTTTATTAGCATCTAAACAAGTTGAAGGAATTTTTACTTGGTTATAATTCCATGCATTAATTATCTTTTTTATTAAAATTACAGATGAGTTTGGGACAAAGGGCGAAACTGACCTGCACCCCTGATGTGGCATATGGTGAAACAGGTCATCCTGGAGTCATCCCACCCAATGCCACCCTTATCTTTGATGTCGAGCTGCTGAAGTTGGAGTGAAAAAGTCCATCATTGATATTTGGTTTCAAGGTACGGGAGTTTGCTTAAGGTTACTGAATTTTTTTATGTTGGCCAATGTTGTCTTAGAAAGATTTCATCTGAAACATTTTATTAAGTTTTAACCTCAAATCATGTGCTTACTTCAATACTTGAAACATACCAAGGAAGAGCCTGGTGGAGGATAGCGTTGCTTACATGTGCACAATTAGGACGAGTGCCAGGAAGCATTCAAACAGATTGATCAATGATTTCCTAGGAAGAGTGCTAGAGGTCAGGATATTGGATTAATTTAAGCAGTGGTTATATTCTGTAAGGGGAAGACAATAGGATTAGTACTTTGGGAGGATGAGGTCAGTTGGCTGAAGAGTAGACTTCATCTGAAGATGATCTGTGAACAAAGGTAAATTTGATGCTGAAATTTATCTTGTGATCCTCAACACTAATCTGCTAACGAAAGTGAGGCAAAGGTTTCGGATTTTCCTTTGTTCCCAGCTTGAGTAACAGCTACAAGGGATAAAGTACTTAATGTCTATGCAATTATGATATTATTTCTGTGGTAAGTAAATGCACTATCACACTGCTGAATTGCTAGAAAAAAATAGTGCATCCGTAGGACATTTGTGAGAGGATTTTTACCTATGGACAAACTTCGTTTGTAGCAATACAGAACCAAAAACTTGCAAGTCCTGCGTAATGTCAGTGCAAATTTGTTCTTGGATTTTAGGCAAGCAGTACTGCAAATTACTAAAATAAACGGAGAAGGTAGTAACAAATTAATATTTTGTACTATTTATTTTCCGAACCAACTCCATCCATGTTGGCTGTGGATCATTTTGAGAGCATTTTTGGTGAGGCTATAAATACACTTGCAGACGTCCTACTAATGAGGAAGTTAACACCAGTCTGTAGTTCATTTCATTAATCTGTTACTTTCATTAATAGGTACATCACTTCCCCTGTCCACTTAAATTGTCCACCATTGAGAGAAGATAGTCATTATCAGCTGACTTTCCCATATGCGTATTTGGCGTTATTGCCAAATGTTGCTCTTTGGTAAATTTCACTGGGGACTGAGTTTACAGGCAAAGCTTTTAAAAAGGCAATTTTTAACTATTATGAAAGTAGTTAGATTGCATGTTTTGTTTTAAGCTGGAAGTACCTAGACAGAAGCATGCTTGTTTACAACTAAAATTGGATATTCTACTCTGAATAAAATATTAGTATGCTGATGCTAAAAGCATGCAAGTTATATTGACCTGTAATTAAAAAGTAATTTTATTTCTTTTTTTTAAGGGATGCCATAGGGAGTCCTGGGTATCAATACAGTGGAATAGATCTTCAAACTGACTTCTGTGAGCCACTGAAGACCTTTTTTGTGATATTGATTTCAAACAAAAAAAAATCCTGCCTACCTACCTGCACCCTGTTTATTTTGCTCTTGCTACTTGGAATCGTTAGTTTTGACTACCAGTGTTGTTAATTTGTAGATCCTGTCACTTATGGGATTGATATTTTGTTCTTTTTAGTTTCTGGTCTGTTTTGATTGCATGCAATATTTAATGAATTTAAGTAATTTCTAAAATATTTGATAAAATTGACCTAACCAGGGTCTAACCTAATTTTTGAATAGCAAAGACCTTAAAGGCATACAAAGATTTTATAAAATTAAAATAAGTGGACATTCATTAGAAACTGCAGGACCTGTATTTGCCAGTCTTGCACTGAGGCAAGAACTGATGTAAAACATAATTGCTTGTTGAAATAAAAGAAAAGATCAGTTTAAAAGAATATAGATTTATATAGTCCCAACGAAGTGTATGGTTCCTTTTTTAATCTGTTGGGATAATTATTGCGATTATTGATTTTAGTCTTGAATTCTGGCAAAACTTCAGAAGCCATCAGCTTTGTAATGTGCACACACCTCAAAAAAGAAACGTGAAACTGTAGCATTCCAAATTGACTTTACAAAAAAGTTTGGGTAGCCCCAGTAATTAAGTACAGGACTTTTGATAAGTTTACATGTGAGGGGAACACGCCACACAGAACCTTGTGTATTTATTCATATTGGGTGGTGTGTTCCAGTTTAAGCTGTTGATTTGAATGCCATGAGATAGTCACGTGTCAGACAGTGAGTCTGAAATGCAGCTAAATGACTTGAGCTACTTCATACCTGCAAATTTTATAATGACCTGCTCTCTCTGCAAATCAGTAATTGGTAGCCTCGACTATTTCATTTTTCTGGCCCAAGAAAATTGCATGGAACCAAGTAACACATTGAAAGGAGGAGAGGGATACAAGAAATGGAGGAACAAATATATGTAGATTTTCTCACTTGCATTTTTCTTTTCATTTTAGTACATGTTAATACAGATGAGTAATGCCTGGATTAGACTTTAACATTTCAAAACATAGAAACTATGAATACATTTTAGTGATTTCAGTTTGTTTGCAAAAAATATTTATAGGTGGTGACAAACAAATTCTTAATTTAAAAAGAATTAATATACATGCGTCAAATGACGTTCACCAGAACATTTTAAACAGCACAGTCACGCAAACTATTTGATGCAGAGCAATAAACCAAGTATTTCCTTTTAAAATAAACTTTCTAAACTTTGAATTATTGGCATTGAATGTGAATATGCGGGCAAATAAAACATATGGGAAATTCCCATTTTGATTAAAGTGAGCTTCAGTTTTGTCAAATAACAAAGACTGCATTTAATTAACAGCTTATTCCCGTTCTCGAGAAATTCTAAAGTTCTTCACACAATTAATTATTTTGGAAATAGTCATTGTTGCAGTAAAAGAAAATGCAGCAGTAAATTTGCACATTGCAACATCTCAAAAAAAAACAATAAATTTAATTGATCTATTCTTGGTAGTGTTGATCAGGAAACCATGTTCTTCGCTGTGGGGTTTGTCTTAAATATATATCAAAACAAAGACTAACTTAACATTGCATTCAAAATGCAGCACTAACAGTGGGTTACTGATTCAACACTGCACTGGAATGTCAGCTTTGGTTCTATGCCCAACAATTGTGTTGAGCCTGTGACATTCTAACTTTTGAGAGAGAGTCCCATCACCTGAGTCAAATGGACATGTTGATCAGTTGGTAACACTTTTCATGACACTTGTTGATTCGTTTTGATTCTAATGGGTTTATTTTAAATAAACTAGATAATTGATTCAGCACAAGTTTGCTGGAACCAAAATCCCACTTTCTCCACCAGGGAGAATTCACCAATAGAAATTGCAGAACACTGAACTGACATTCCTATCTATCTGGAAAGAACTGAGTTGAATTTGCTATGGTTTGTTTTAGCAAGCTATGTTGATTGCCTGCTGACTATATGACAGATCAGAAACTTTATGCTAATCAAGTTAAACACTGCATAAGCATTATACACAGCAAATAGCTGATCTACTTCAATTTCACTTTCCTGCACTGTTTAAATATCCTCTAATTTCCTTAGTATTCAAAAGTCTATTGACCACTGTCTTGAATATATTCAACTGAGTATCCACAGTATTCTGAAATACGTTGGGTTTCACATATTTATTAATGTAAGTCGTTTCAAGGTGTGACTAAATGCCTATTGATAATTATATGCATTAACGTAATTGATTGGAAATTCTTTATTCTGAAGCCCCTGGACTGAACATGTGTTGGCAATTTATCTTGTTTCTAGTGTTAATTTGATCTAATGGATTGCTGGACCCTTGTTGACAAGAGTTTTTATAATAATCATGTAATAAAGGTCATTATCTGTTTCATCCACAAAACTGTTTTTAAAAAAAAAAAAAATCCTAATTAAGGTATAGTGCTCCTTTATGGATTGGTTTTATCTGTTTATTAAATACTTGTGCCATCAAAAATTTGTGTAACTTATTGCTTCTCTGTGTCATAATAAAAAATCTGAATATTAGTTCTCACCTGAATGTCCAACAATGTGATATACCACTTTTCAGAGAATGTTGAGAGCATTCTTTATAGTTTCTTGTACAAATGCAATAGTTAAACGTTAGTTAAGTTGTATGGTCTAATATCACACTCCTGGCATGTTGAAGGATACAAAGTTTGATTTCATTGGATAATCCTTTTCCAACGTATCCATTAGGATAATACTCAGCAACAATACATACCATATTTACCAATATTTAAACCTTTGCTCTAACGTTTAATTATTCTAATTTCTAAATAAGGATGTTTTATTAATGATCTTCAGCTGTTATGACTATCAGTTCGTAAACTAATTAAATGCTTGCATATAGCGTTGACAATTAAAAGTACGTCTGAGATAGTAAAAACTGCTGATGCTGGAATCAGAGATAATAGTATGGAGCTGGAAGAGTACAGCAGGCCAGGTAGCATCAGAGGAGCAGGAAAATTTGACATCCGCTTTCCTGCTGCTCTGATGCTGCCTGGCCTGCTGTGCTCCTCCGGCTCCAAACTGTGCTGTAAAAGTACATCCGAGTTACCTTTAAAGGGAATGATGTGCATGACCAGCTGGAAGTGAACTAATCATGGTCTGGGAAGGCAGTAGGCCAGGAAAC